ACTGCCTCCCAGCCTGCCGCTGTTTTCAGAACGGCAGTGGGGAAAGGTAGTGGAGGGAGTTCAGTTTGGGGTTTTTTCAGCCCTCGCTGGAAGGTGGGACAGGTGTTTTGGAACCCTCTTGAGGTGGGGGGGGCTCCAATTCACCCACCCCACCCTCTAGCACCAACTGGAGAACCACTAGAATGAGCTCCCTCTGCTCCCTTTCCCGACTCCCATTCTGAAAACTGTGGGCTGGGAGGGAGAAGCATTGCTAGTGGAAACTGGCTGCAGGCGAGCAGCCAACAGCTAGATTCCCCTCCCTCCTAGAACCAACAGTGAAATTCTGTTTGGTCTGGGGGATCTTTGTATCTCAGAACACATCCTGCAAAGCTTTCTCAGTTACAGTGGGGAGCTGCTCTTCTGACTGCACTCTGTTACCTGGAATGAACTTCTACATTGTGGTCTATGACATGGTTCTTAATGTTCCAGAGTTCTGAATCCCTTGTGGCTCAAACATTTAAAAAAAAAAAAAAAGTTTAAAAAATGTTTCTAAACTAGAGGCAAACTTTTCAAAAGCTATTTAGGAGCCTCCAGGCTTACAGACTTACAAGCTCTGCTCTGCTCACTCTTCCCACTGAGTGCATTAAAGTCATGTGGTAACTTTGAGTGGTTCTGAGATTCTTGTTAGATAGGACACTTAGCACATGCTATATTTAGAACAGAGTAAGCATACATATGACTTGGGAAGTTTGAGAAATATACATCATCATAGTATCACATCAACCTTGAACTGGCTCCAGTGTGATCCCAAGGCTGAGACTGAAAAATCAGCAGGTTTTCAGTCTCAGTCCTTGGACCACAGCAGAGACAATTTGAGATTGTAGTGTAGTCCTGGGGATGAGACCAAAAATTAGCTGACTTGGTCTCAGTCCTGGGACTACACCAAAGCCAATTCAAAACTTCAGTGCAGTGCTGGGGCTGAGATCCACAATCTGTGGATTATGAGTCCCAGCCCTGGGACCAGAACTGATCATACTATCTCTGTACAGCAGGCCCATGTGAAGGCAACATGTATTATTTGGTATAATTGGGAGATACTCCTCCCTCAAAAGGTGTAACTTTACTAAGATACTAGGGCACTTAAGCACATTATCCTGCTTCAATGCTTAAATGCTAGTGTTTAAGTATGGTTAATGTGCTAAGTGTAATGTGTTACAACTCCTTTAAATGAACACCCCAATCCCACAGAGCAGCCAAATATCATTACATCATCTGGAGTCACTCCTGAATCACCTAATCTGTCTAATTACTAGTGTTTTCTATGCCCAGCATGAGTGACTGGTGAGCCTTATTTGTTGATAGGGAACCCAGGGTTAGGTGGGGAGCCAAGACACATTTCCTGAGTCTCATTGGAAGATAATAGGCTTAGGTTTCTCAGTGTCAGTCACTTTTGGGAACAGGACTTAAGTGAAAATTTTACTCACATTCAGAATACTCTTGGGGATACAGTTTCTTTGGAGTTAGCAAAGTAGGGTTGTGTTTGGATAGTAGAAGTTAAAGAAGTCGAATATTTTTTTTTCCTTAAGAAATACAAACGCTGTCCTTCAGAGTGAGAATAAACTTGACTGTGGAGCTTTCAGATCCATAATATTAGAAAATTTCATGTAGGGTATTTTTTCCAAGGGATTGTCTTACCAGGTCAGACCACTGTTCCATCTATTTTCATGTCCCATTTTTGGTACTAATCATGACTTCACGCAGCAAACTGCTGTTTGGTATTGTATATTTTCCAACTCATAAAAATGCCAGTATTCCAAAATAATAATCCTAAAGAATGTGGTATAAGCTGACAATGATCCAGTTTACTGGATCATTACTGTTTCAGTTAAATCTGTAATGATGTATAGAAGTTAAATTTTATGTATGTAGCTCTTTTAAAAGTAACATGAGACTTTATGGAATTAAAGGGATTTCTATGTCTCCTATGCCACTGAAATACAACCACTTTTCAGATGCTGAAAAAAAGCAACTAGTCAATAGAAGATTTTTACAATTAAGTGAAACTGGTAATTTACGAAGAATGTAAATGTAATCACTTTATTTCATATTTCAAGCTAATTATGAAGTTTGTCATGGCAGAAAAAGCCCTGTTAGCCATCACTGACTGTGAGATTACGTTTTAAAGAAAAGGATGTTATATTTCTTATAAATAACCATCTTTACTTCACAAAGTTGAAAATGTTTATTAATATCTGTAAGATTAAGTAAACTACAAAAATTAAGCTACAGTATTTACCTTAGTGCTCACCTGAGGCACTTCTGCATATTAATTAAATTATTCCACATATTTACTATACTGTATATACTGCATAATATTAAAGTGTTTGAAAACCAGTATGCGGTCTGTATTGCAAAACTGGCTTGTCATTAGATTGTTCGGTATCTTGGCCCTTTTTAACACTGGAACTTGGGAAGGGTACAAAGGAAATATATTAATAAACATAACTAGTAAATGCAACAGGAAACAACATGGAAGTAGGATACAAAGGCAAAATAAGACAGAGAAACGATATTTTAATATTAAATATAAACAATAAAGTATGTAACCAAAATTTAGAATAGCGACTATGAGATTAAACTAGCAGGACAAAATTCTGCTCTTGCTCTGACTTCACTGAAGATATATAGCAACTGAAATGGCACAATTAGAACTGAGTGTTGAATTTAAAACATCTTGTGTGGTTTAAAAACATTTCAAAGTTTTAAAGAAAATGTAGCTGGAGTCAGAGTGGATGATGTCTTAGCATAAAAATGTAAATTGAGGGTCTCAAGCTCATCTGACCCCATAAGTCAGGTGAGTGATGTGGGGCCAGTCTAAAGGCCAAGTAAAGGGTGTGGGGTCAGCTCTGTGGGCCAGATTGGGCCCACAAATTCCATGCCCACTGTCCTCGCAACAAGATGGATTAAGTGCACATGAGGCCCATGTAGGGGCTGGTCTGGGATTTCACTGCATGCAGAATCTGTGTGGGGCCTGTCCAGGATGTGGTGCTCACTCTGGCTGGTCTGGGACTCGTGCTGCACACAGCCCCTGCCCTATACCAGCCAGTGTGTAGCATGGGTCCTGGACCAGCTGGAGCAAGCACCACATGTGGCTCAGCTGTGGGCCCGCTGGGCTTAGCACCATGTGCAACACAGGTCACAGATCATCCAGAGCATGCAGCTCTGTGCAGGGAGCTGGTCTGGCACATGCCTCATGTGGGTCAACTTTGATACCCAAGGGCAGCAGCAGGGGCTGGATGATGGAGCTCTGTGGGCCATGTCTTTGACATCCTTGGACTAAAGGAATGTCCAACAGTAAAGGCTGTTGGATGTTACTTGACATTTAACAGATTCTGCTGTGATTGTACAGATAGATCAAAACGTATTAGTGTTCCCTTAAGTGAACCCTGTGATAGTCAGTCTAGTTAAGAATTTTTTTTGTGGCTACTATTTGATTTTTACCTATCCACATCCTTACTGAAGCCATGTTTGATCTGTAGGTAAGCAAATGCAAGGTCTGTAAAAGTAGGAATAAAACCCATGTTTCTGAGAGTAGCATATGTAAGAAAAGAATTATAAAGAAATGTTTAAATATAAAATGCTGAAGATAAAAATAGCCAGGACTGCTTCCCTACAGGGCATATCAAATACACAGAAAAGTCAGAGCCTGTTGTGCACACAATAATTTGAATAAGTGAAACATAATTTGCAAACTGGAAAACTACTCGTAGCATAACATTTAGGGCTTAACGCATCCAACTCTTGTCTAGTTATAAGTGTAATAGAGCAATAGGAATCTGGTCCTTGGTGTTTATAATTAGGAAGCTATTTAATTTGTAGTTTCTCCAGTTTCCACAAAATGGATAAATCTGGGATTGCCTGTGAAATGCACAAAATCAACAACAACAACAAAAACTTAATAAAAATATAATGCTGGCTCCCCAGCGAGAGCCAATGGCTTTTTGCTGCTGGGAGGGGAAGGCACTGGCTGGTGGGGTGGCACAAAGAGCAACAGACAAGATGGCAGCTGCCCCCTCATGCATTCTCCCCCTGCTGAGACCTCTCTGTCAATTAGTGCTGAGGAGCAGGGCAGCACAAAGGGCAGCAAGCAATCAAGATGGCAGCTGCCCCCTTGTCCCTCCTCCCAGCCAATTAGCACTGAAGGGTAGGGCCTCTCCACCAATCAGTACTGACATGGCCACTGCAAAATGCCCACAAAACCAGCTTTTCACACTGCAGGTGGGCCACAAAAAGCCCTTTGTCTCACCATGATTTAGGTAGGTCCCTATTTATAATAGTTACATGATTATGTGGACAGAGCTGCAACATAGACATATTCAATATTAGGCAAGTAGTATTTGAAAAAATATGAAGTAAAGTAAAGAAAATTGGTTGGAATTTAGCTATGTGGGAAATCAATATAGCAACAAGTGGTAAGTATTTTAGGTAGGGCTGAAGAAGCTATAAGCAAAATTAATTTCAGTAAAATCAGTGTTGCTCAAGGCAACAGAAACCAAGATGAGCATAAAAGATAAACATTTGAAAATTAAAAAACAAATTAGGAAAGCTTATGTAACAATTAGTAGATCAAGGAAAATAAAATATTAGAAGAGCATAAAGAAGTAAACAGCAAATTACAGATAACAGCTCACAGAATATTAAGTATAAGTGGTTTCTATATGCAAAAGACAGCTCCAGTCAGATCCAGATTTTTGTTACGCTTGCAAGGTGCCCAGCTCCAGGACTGTCAACTCTGATTGGGGACTGGTGTCCAATACTGCAACGCAAAAGATAAGCTAAAAGTTAAAGCAGGCAACTCCTATTTAAATAAGTATTTAATTTTTGTCTTCATAATTTTTTTTCATGTGAACAAGGGTCTGCTTTTTCAGGGACTACAATAGAGGAACTGTTTTTTCTATAGATAGCAAAATGGATAGTTGGTCCAATGTTATATATGTGAAAGACTAGGCTTCGGTTCAGAGAAATGTTCAATGTTTTCATTTTAATGTACATTTTGTTTTTTGTATCAGCTATTTTTGTAGTTGTATGGAGTACCAAGAGTTTGAAAATAATATTGTAAGAATGATGCACATAATTAATAGAAAAAAACACAAATCTGCCTTAATGTATAAAAAGAAGAGTAACAATAGACAGAACCTTTACAAGTGGGAGAGTGGTTCTCAGTGAAATGTGTCAGGAGTCAGTTTCAGTAATTGGTTACATCTGAGAGACAGTATGGTGAAAAGGTTCGAGTGAATGACCGTGGGGCTATACTTCTGTTCCCCATTGATCACTGGCTGGTATTTTGTCTTGGATGAGCCTCTTTTATTCGTTCCCTTTTACGCATCATAAAATGTATAGCACAGAACCTCTAAAGTTCTTTGGTCTTTTCAGATGATAGCTATCTTACAAGCGCAAGAAAGTCTTGTTTGTAAATGATTTTGCCTGAAGAAGCTAAAAAAACCCAACACATACAGCAGACGAATTCTGTTTTTGTTTGTACTTCTAAGGCTTTGTCCTCACTAGGGAAGAGAGTGATTTAACATGTTACATCATTTGATCAAACTCTGCTGTAGTGAGCCTATCTTGTACCATATTTACTCAAATCCAAGATGAGATCTGCTCCCATTTAGCATTGGGAAAAACCCTCATCTTGGATTAGAGTGTAGGGTGGTGGAGGATGGGGGGCAAGTACTGAGAGTCAGAATCTGACCCAGGGTCAAGTTCAAAGCTGTAACTGTTGCCCACCACGTTACCAGCCCCCACCATCATAATTACACTCATCCCATTCCCACCCCCCTCGCCATTTACCAGCAGGAATCTGTCCTCACTGCCTAGGGCAGAGAACATGTAGTTGCTCTGTCCCCAACTTGACCCAGTAGCAGCGGTAGCAGCAACAGCTGCTCTGGCCCTGGCTTGAGCTCCAAGATCCAGCTGGAGCTGCGGGGCAGGCTCAGGTCAAAGCAACTAAGTGTTCCCTGCCTTGGGCTGGAAAATGAACAGAGTCCTTCCAGAGTTAAAGGTGCCAACTGGGGCACCCTGGGGGGACAGGCAAGTGTTGGGACATGTAGGTGTGGGGGCAGAAAGCAGAGGGGGAAAATGATGGGGGCGAGGATAGAGGGCTGCCCACCCCCACCACTGCCTTCCCCCATGCCTTCTCCACAATGCCTTCTCCATTGCTTGTTCCTCTACTGTCCTCCTTCATTGCCTCCCCCCTCTACCTACCCCCTTAACACCTGCCCCCCTGCCCACTGCTTGCCCTGCTGCAGTGGTAGAGGAGATGAATTTATGATAATTCTCCAAAAATAGTTTTGATACATAGACAATTTAAAAATGTATCAAGTGTCCATGGATAGAATCTAATAACTGGGAGTTCATCTTAAATTTAGAGTAGTCTTGGCTTCTGGTATGTTAACTCTTTAGTGAGGATCTTGACCAAAGGCCAGACTTTAACCCCAGCTGAATTTTTGTAATGGCATACACTTGAATTTCTACAAGGAGCTTGTCCTGTAAATACTGCAGGAGACAGTGTGTGGTGCAGAGCCCTTTGAAGTCTATGAGAGTCTTTGAAACAGATGTCATTGGACTTTTGTATCAGACCCACAGTGCTTAAGACAGGCAATGAAACTGGGACTATTGAGCCTATTTATGTAAATCAATCCCCAAACCCTTGTGTGGAATCCCAAATTGTGGCATACTCCTCTAGAATAATAAGATGTGTCACTGAAATCTTTACTTTTTCTATTGAAACAAGTGGCATTTAAAAAACCGCTATTAATGGATTTCTTTGTATGGGAGGGCAAAAAGTAAAAAAAAAAAAAAAAAAAAATATTATGAGGAAAACTATCTTAACAGTAACCGTGAAAACTGACCTATATTAATGTAACCTGCAATTTATAACACTGTATAGGGGAAATATAAATTGAATATGCCTGAGATTCTACTGTTTCTTTATCCATTTAAAATCTACATTATTACTCTTCAGGCAGAGTGAAAGGGAAGGGAGGAAGGAAAGTAACAGAAAGGGAAGAGAGATGAGCTGATGGTGCAGCCTACTATGACATTATATGTTGTTACTTGTATTTATGGTCTAGACATGTTAAATCCTAAAAATCCACACAGTTATTATGAAGCCTTAATTCAATGCTTTCTATATCATTGCTGCAATCCACTCATTTTATGGGCATAGGGACATAATTTTAAGAGCTGTAGTTGTTATGATGCTTGAGTGGTTGAAGAGCTATTTATTTAGTTAGTGTTTCAAATTATTTACCAGACATAGGAATAAAGAGGGTTGACAAATGAGTTAGTGGCAGGTTTCTGAATCTTTCAGATAGTAGCAAAGCTGTCATGTGTTTGTTTGGTGATGATCATAGGTAATGATGACCTTGGCTTATTTTTAGTACAATTAAGTTCACCCAAATATACATGGTGAACTCCATTCTTATTAATGAGCAATACCATGTTGCTTTATTCTAAAACCTCATAATTACCCAATTAAGTGGATTTGCAGTTAATATGATTTGACACCAGTCTTTGTAATTGAGATCTAAGATTTGAGATGCCTAAAATTAGTGGATTCCTTTAAAAGGATAGTAATAGGTTCACCACCTCCCCCCCCCCC